GGTGGAGTCAAACTGTTCTCTTTAATAGCGCGGACCAAGGACATTCTACCGTGAAATGGAAGCTTCTTGCGCGGACCAACTCCCCGATTTCTGCTCTTTCTAGCCGCTTCCGAAAGTCTGGTAGAGGCTATGATTAATCCACATTTGACAATAACGCTTTTCCAATATTTACTGTAGTCACATTATAATACATTAACGTTAACCTTCTGTTTTTTTGTTTTTTTTTCAATCAAATCCACAAAAATGTACCTGTTAGTAGTAGGTTGCTGCGAGGAGCTTCGTTGAACATGTAGTAGAAAATTAGCCTGGGTGCCATCTATAATGTCGCTAGCTACCACCAGTTGTAAGCTAGCGGGCGAATACTACTGGGGATGGCACCCAGGGTAGTAGAAAATGGCCAAATAGGCTGAATAACTAAAAGTCAGTATATCAATGCTATACATGTTTGTAGGGAATTTTATTGTAGCAATCATCAAGTGACACTCGATACACACTTTATTGACGATGATAGTAGTTAGCTTTTCACAAGATATATAGTTATATTGTTCAAGTTAAATATATAATAGAAATCTATCATGTTTACCCTGGCAATGTTACATAAAGACCTGTTTAAAGATTAAAAGATTTCAACAGCCGGAATTCAAACCGCTAAACTGTATTTTCCCTCGGGGGAGACGCCACTGACGCACGGAGCATCCCAGATTAGCTCGGAGACCGTCAGTGGGCGACACGAGTAGAGGAAATCGCTTTCTTGTACTGCACTTACATAACGTGTGGAGTGCCATTTGCAGAGTGATGGGTAGCCTCAAGTGTAGTTACATAACCTCTTCAGAGTGAACGCTGACGTAGGATAACGTTCCAAGATCGGTCGATGGCGGCTTGTACGAGAACATTCTAATCTAAAGCATAGGACTGTCTGAGTACCGTAGTACTCATGCAAAGAAGGTTACTGACATATCCCTGTAACACATTGGTAGATGACGTTAATGTCATCATTAATAGACGTCAATGTCATCTACAGATGGGTAGTTGACATCAATGTCATCATGAATACACGACAAGCCCCACTCTAGGAGGAACTATCGTTACGTAGCTGGCTACATGGAAACCCGTCCAGGAAAAACAAGAGTTCGGAGATCTCATACCTCCATGAAATATTTAGAGCTTTTGTAAATTTTGTTCTAGCAATTTCATTTTTCCTCATCGATTACGGTTATGTTATAATTAGCATAATTTATTCTGATCGATGGTTTTATATACTTAAATTACATATATTGCATGTGTACTATATATTGACAAAATTCGATCTTGATATTTCATTACCAATTATGCAAATCAGACCTTGACATTTACATAATCAATGATAAGTGATGTTCACCTGTAACTAAGTTCCACATCATGTCATAATTATGACACATTAATTGTGTTAAGTAGATCCTTATTTGCATCTAAGGATTACACTATATTGCAGGTGTATAGTAACACCTGAAACAAGAAAGTCTGCTTAAGTGAAGGATTGAAAGATATTGCTGACACATGAGACTAGCAGATCTTTCCTCTAGTGGCTACATAGGGTGACTTCATGAGATACACTGTCCAGATGACCACAGAAGCAGCGTGACAGGCTAAAGTGACCACTGTCAGGACAGGTTGTGAGGTCAGCAGGGCACCAGAGAGCCACAGCAGAAAGCCTGTTCCCAAAACGGACATACATCGGGAAAGTTCCATTATAGGAGCAATCGGCCTGAATTGGAAATGGAAAAGTATCTTTGTCAATTAAATTACACAAAAGCGTTTGCCTTCGATCAGATTGGTAATAAAATGACAGAAAACAATTAAAGTTTATTGCAGGACAATTGTAACTGTTACAATGTATTTAAGTTCTTAAAAAGTACCAAATATCAAACTAATATCATCTACAATAATGCACAGGGGTTCTATAGCAAGACTAAACACTACACTACATCTAGTTCATATTCTATTTATGATAAGTAATACAGTGTATATATATATATAATGCACAGAAGATGCAGACACACTTGTGTGCATTACATATACCGTATTCAGGTACAGGTAAGTAGAATATGAATATAGCCCTATTCAAGCTTAACCAGTAGTTATGGGAGGGAGGGTCATTCTAGAAAAAAGTTACCTGCAGTCCAGAATGGCTGCTATGGAGGAAAGTGTCCACATTATAGATGCCAGCTTTCCGACAGTTCCAAAAATACTCAGGTCCTGGAATAAATGATAATGTTTATATACACAGGGAAAGGAATGTGATGATATAACACCAAAACTGGTGATAGTCAAGGGTGGTATTTTCAAAAGTACATCTAACAAGCATTAGGTGTAAGAATACAGTATGATTGACCCTACTCCCTTGCTAATAAGTACCCGTGTGGATTGTTTTAGCAACAATTAATATCAGAAATGTGTAATAGATAGTTGTTGCACAAATTGTTTAAAAGTGAAAGATTTTTTCAATGACAGCATTTCAATGTTTGGTGCAAAAATGTTACATAATGTCCCTTTAATGATTATTATAATAAGTAAAGTGACAGTAAATAAGTAAAGCCACAGTGAGATAACTCTACCTTAGGGATTGTTCTAGCAGTCAGCAGTGCAAGTGCGAAGTGCATCAGTACATAGCACACCCAACCCATGGACACCTTACTGTCATATTTTGGAGTTGGTCGCTAGAAAATGAATAAAAAATACCGGTAGGATGAATTATGTTGTTACTTAAAATCCTCATTAAACAAACTGTGACAAATCGATGGATGGATGGATTGGTGGGTGGGTGTTTGTTTGGATGGATGGATGGATGGATGGATGGATGGATGGATGGATGGATGGATGGATGGATGGATGGATGGATGGATGGATGGATGGATGGATGGATGGATGGATGGATGGATGGATGGATGGATGGAATAAACATTAAAGTTTATAAGATTACAAAACAAAGTCGTTTGAGTTGTGATGACCCAACCTTAGGAAACTCCTGTGTAGATTCCAGTTGAGGTTTATAACGAAGGGTCCTGCCTGGCCCAGCAAACAGCACACGCGTTTTGTTCCACAGCCCAGGTGTTTTGAAGAAGGCATGCCAGATACACACAAAGTGATGAAACTGTATGATACAAGAAACTTTCAATCACAATCAGCCACTGTGAACATAAGCATTTGTTTGGAATCCTAAAACCCAGAAATTTGAATGAAAGCTCATCTGTTCCGGTAGATTATCCATAGTTGTAGGGTTTAAGCTTAATTGTTCCAGCACAATTAAGAAACCAGAAAATTTGAATGTTGAGTTTGTAAGTTGACATACTGTACATGAATCCTGGTAAGTAATTATTTTGCAAAATTCATTAGCTACATTTGTATTTTATATGGATCATCTCAGTGTGATAGGCTGAATAAAAAGTTCTAAACGGGAACTATGCGGCTCCAGATGTCTTACTGAGGGACGACTGCGTGTGCAAGATGTCGGTAGCTTGAGGAATGAATCCCCTCTACTATATACTTATATGGATCATCTCATAAGGCCACATCAATTTAATTTGTTGGTTCTCTAATTATTTTAGAAAAAAATATGAAGCATCAGTGCAAAAAAAACAGGTCTAGGTCTATTATAGCCCCAAATACTACGATAGGAGCCAAGAGGTCAACACAAAAGGCTTGGTTGATATTCAAACAATGAATTTTGAACTTTTTATCAAACCACTGCATTGATAGATTAAAAAAGTGTAACAACTAGGAAGAAACAGACTGTCCTCAACTGTTGGAGGGCAAAATATGAGCATTTTTGAGATGATTCAGAACCAGAATCTTTTTTTTTTTTGGCAAATTAGAAAAAAATGAAGAGGCAAATCTGAGAACCAAAAAAATAAATTGGTGTGGCCTAATGATCAGACAAATGACAATTTATGGCATGTCTGTGTGAGAAAATAAAAGGGTGGCACAGACATACACATATACCACAGAACTTTCCAGCCTTTGTTGAACATCTAAGAATTGCCATGATATAAATGATAACCTGTATCCAGACTGGGTCCCAGGTATTCACAGCCGCTCTTAAGCCATAGACAAGTGGCCCACTCTCCTGGTGGAAAGTACCTGCATGTGGCAAATGATGCAACTCATTATAGAGCCCTTGAAAAGCATTATCACGTTGTTAGAATTTGAGTACAGAGGCTTGTATCTTTGGAAGCAGACCCAAGTGGCATCCAGAATATTCTTGATGGAGAGGTTTTTAAAGAGGTGAAGGTGCTTTGGAGAAAAGCAAAAGAGCACGCATAAACAGATGCCATATTTCATTATCATTTCTATAAATTATCCTCAAAATGTTTTTTTCTGTGCTACTTCATTATCAAATTTTGATTTCTATTGTCGTTATTGTTATTATTATGTCTACCAAAGGAAAACATGTTGTTCCTCCTCTTCTTCTAAAAACCAAAAAGGTCAATAACCTAAACCAGACAGTCTGTTCCCATGGTAACTAGTGTTGGGTTACATTATGTTTGCAATTTTATAGCAGCAGGGATTTAAACTCCTGTCTGACCACCATATGAATGTGTTTGAGTAAGAATTAACAGAGCAGACCAAATGAGAAGGTAAACATTATGCATTTGCTTTGCAAATGTTACTTTTCTAATTTAGATATCCCCTCTGAGTCACATGGCTAAATGGAAAGGAAAAGATGGTTCAGTTTTCTCACCAAACATTCGATCCCAGATGATGAGTGTTCCGCCATAGTTCTTTCCCATGTGATTCCGACCTGTTGGATGACAAGGTGTGTAATTAGCCATCATAGAACAGAAAGTCATCAGATTTTGCGAGATGATACCAAAATTATTGGTCACTAATCTTCTCATTGTCATAGACTTAGCTGATAGTTATAAAGCTCATTTACAAAAATTTCAAAAAGACTATACAACGGTGTTGCCTTTTTTTATAGAAATCATTGGAAATACAAAAATATTTCGAATGATTTGTAGTTTAGGGAAATTGTTTCAATATTTCAAAAATTGTTCAAAATGTTTGTAAAACATAAGATATCTGTTACAACTATTAATAAAAGATTGACATTAAATCTATGTGTCTATGGATCTGACCATGGTGGACTCTGTGATGAGTTGGTGTGTTCAGGATGTATTCCAGTGGACCCAGGGAACCAACCACCTGGACAAAACATGGCAAAACTGGTCAAGGGCTAACTTCCAGCTGTCAACACAGGGTAAATGAAAAGACCTGTACCCATATAGGTACAGCACATATAACGTCACATACGAAGGCTCATAAGTACTATGGAGAGCCAAGGAGGTTCAAAACCGAAACTTCAGCTCTCGCAAACAAGTGGTAGTGGATTAAGAACTTTGGTATTCAATATTTATGGAATAGTTTACAACGTTTATTGGATTTTTATGCATCACATATTAAGCATTGAAACAGTACATAGTAGAGACACACTACTTACCTCTGTGTGCAGCCATGCCTGGTATAGCAGATTCAGCTGGTAATGCACCAAAAAAGCAGCAGGGGGCACTACTAAGGCCAGGGGTAAGTACAGGAGCTGTGAAGACATATAACAGTTACTCTAAGCTTACATGGAGATGCAGGAGATGACTTCCTTTGTCACACACCCATGTTTGAAGCAGTCTTTCCCACTACACATTCAAAAATACCTTTTAGGTAATATATTTCTCCTAGGTTATATATTTCTCTCCCCTACTTTCCCCAGCTGGGGTTATTTGGGGTGCTGTATTACCCATTGAGATTGAGATTAACATCTCTTAAAGCTCTGTTTGTTTGTTTGTTTGTTTGTTTGTTCAACCAGGAGGTACATATTGCCTAAGGTCGCTATTCAATGTTTCCTGGGGGGGAAACAAAAGCCATTAATACCAAATCAACTCAGTTAAAATTACAACAAGAAGCCATAGGTAACAATCCTCCTAGGTCAACGCCAGACCTACTGTGCAGACATTATAATTAGGCAACGGTTAATACAATGAGGGCGCGTCACAAGCATAAAACATAAAAAGACCTAAATCCATTACTGCTCCCAGGGCGTGTAAAGATACTGCGCTTCAAGTTCGAAGTTCATTTTAATTACACACACACAATCATTGTATTCACATAAAGATCGGACTATCATGGCCGTGTCACTATTAACGAAGACAGCCCCACCGTCTTACCGCGCCTGTTACTTATTAAGCGCGACTGGAACAGGCCAGATTCCAGCAACAGTCGCCGCCAGCACCGCGAGTGTTACTACCGCCGGTAAGATATAGATACCCGGGATATCTGCTTAGAGAACCTCTGCTACCAGACAACTGCCTAAACCTATGGCCTATTCCACAGGATTGTAAAAGTAGGGATGTTCCTAAAATATGCATTTACTTCAATATCAAAACTGCTACGGTGAAAATAAAAAGACGTGCATCATCACGGGCATAATGGTACACCACATGCGAAATTACACAGAAATGCGACGTACGGAAGAATGCGTTTTGGCTGCGAACATCTTCCAAAAAACTTGCCATCTCTTAAGTACGGCCAAAAACATCTGGAACCACTTATCAAAACCACCCCGTATCTGCATGAAGTTCCACCCCCCCACTGCTATTCCAAACAACGCATTTTTCTGGACCATTCCAATTCGCCTCGTAATTGTAGGGGTGCATCTGCAATATTACATTGACCGCGAAAGCAGCGACGGCAAAAATACACATTCGTGCATCAACACGGGCATGCCTGCAGACGGCGTATAAAATTGCATGCCGATTACACAAAGAGAACCCAGTGTTTTGACCCCGAACACGAAAAACCAGCCGTTCACAACACTCCGTCCGGAGGTCCTGACCTCCTTCACGGAGTAACAAAAATAACAATTCTGTAACATGACCAAACTCGATTCTGTAATGTTATTGCTCTTCTGAAATAGATTCTCTTGAATGCCATTCGAATTAGCATGAAATCCTACGTTTAAAGCTGTTTTGAATGCAGGCCAAGCTGTCTGTCCCTGTCCTTGGTACTGATAGTACCTCCACCTTAGAGGCTTACTAGATGTTTACTAATGCTCCAATGTTGATTTGTTGCTTGGTTGCTTGCAAAGAAAATAACTGAAGTCATATGAGCAGATTGTAATGTTCTTGAAGGGACAACATAACATAATCTATAACATTCAAAGTTATGCAACCTCCATACAATATAATATAAGATATACCATCTTTTCTACCTTATTTTGTTTGGGCCTTTGTTTATTCGTGAAATAATCAAATTTGCCTGCCTATCATCCATAAGCTAACAAACATGATAAAAGTGTTTCTTGTTCTTTGGGCCACACCAATTCAATTTGTTGGTTCTCAAACTTTTTTCAGAAAAAATATGAAGCGATAAGGAAAAAAATTAAACAGATCTAGGCACCCCATGCTAGCCCCAAATGGTATGATAAGAGCCATGAAGTCAACATATTGGGCTGATTTATAATTCAGACATTGAATTTCAAACTTTTTATCAAATCACTGCATCATTGACAGCTGGAAAAACTGTAACAACTCAAGAGAAGGGACTTTCTTCAATTGCTGGGGCCAAAACATGAGCATTTTGGAGTTGATTTTTTTTAAGTCAGAAAAAAGGAAGCAGGTGAATCTGAGAACCAACAAATCAAATTGATGTGGCTTTTTAGTGTTTTGCAGCATGATAACTTACAAAGGAGGAGCAGCGTTGAAAGGCTGATGTCCGTAACGATGACAGAATGTTGTAATCATCAGAGCTGTGGTGCACCTGGTGTGCCGCCCAGAGTATGTTCACCTCTGGAGTAAAGAGAACATCATAACTAGTAACATTTCCAAAGCAAATGCATAATGTTTACCTTCACAGGGTCTTGCCTAAAAAACACTGCTCTGTTTCATCCATATACTAGTACATGTATATTGTGAACAGCCCCTCCAACTCTGTTCTGCTACATAATGTAACCCAACACCAAAGGATGTTTGCTACAGCACAGTTACCATGGTGACAGACGTCTTGTTCAGGTCACTGACTTTGTTTGTTTGGAGAAGAAGAAGAGGAAGAAGAAGATGAAACTGAGCAAAAACAATATGTTTTCAATCTGTGAAGGTAAACATAACTATGAGGCAAATCTGATAGCAGTAGTAGTCTTTGTGTGACACTTGCCATGGTGTAGCCTGTGGCTCCAGTAGTAACCAAACTCCACCCCAAAGAATGCGGTCCACCAGGTCAAAGGTGAGTCCCAGGACATATCCACCAATCGCAGATGTCGATACAGCCAGACATACGCCATCATCTCAACACCTACAGTCAGGAGCCTGCACAAAAGAATACATTGATTGATACGTACAATATTGCCATGCCATTAACTTTCAGGAGAGAAAATAAGTTCTACCTCTACCATGAAAGTTTATCTGTGCTGGTATGTTTGAAGGCAAAACTTTTGTTCCAACACAAAAGGGAAATGTTCTCACCTACAGCTTTCGACCAGTGGTGACTCTTGTCTTTCTCAGTAGACTGACCCAGTGGGGCTTCTCTGAGGTCAACACTGGGACTCTCAACCGCGACGGGGGCCGACATCGTTTACCAGATAGCTTTGACCCAGCGTTAAAGTTACACTTCAGAGAAGCCACGTGACAAGTCTCACTGGGTCAGTCTACTGAGGAAGACTAGAGTGACTGGTCGAAAGCTCTAGTTTAGAACATTTCTTTTTTGAGTTGGAACAAAAGCATTTCCTTTCTGTGTTTTACATTTAAACATAAATTCTATCTTCTTGCTTTTCTTCCTTTTCCACCATCTTTACTAACCTGACGATTTGTGTGACAAGCGCAACACCCCCGGAAGCGATGACATTGTTGAACCTGGGCGTGGTCCTTTTCTGTATCCAGGCAACCAGCGTCTCAACAAGGAACAGGAGAACTACAAAGGGCATTGCCTGGACAGAGAGGAAAGGTGTAGTTGTATGTGTGACATGGCGCCATGAATGTTTTAAAGAGCACATGACACCAATCACACTAAAACACAAGTTCCCGAAAATAGTCAAACGTGATAGGTATTATTCAATGAACAAAGACGTTTGGACCATGAACTACGAACTGACGGAACATCGAATCTTGCAAATCATTCTTGATTTTTGCCGCCAGTTAACTAGTTAATCCAATTAGATTCCGGCAAGACGTCACGGTGAGCATGAAGGCCTATTAGAACCTGGCACCACGGTTCGTAAAAACGTTCTTTCGAGCAGCAAACAAATGCGTACTAATTACTAGTATATTACAAAGTGGACAATTGCTGAAATAATCGTGACCACCAAGGAGCATTGCTGTAATCTTATGCTGACAAAGGCTCATCACAAAATCAAAGAAAATACACTGACAATCCACATGCATAACTATCTAAGGTATGTCTTTTATTTGTATTTTGAACGATTCGCTTTTCTTGCTCACAGATATCGATATGTGGACTTATCATTAATGTGTACAGTTAGTTCAATAAATAATCAAAGTCGAAGACTTTGTACCTTGCCCAAGGACGCAAGTCACATACCGTCATGTTGTGTGATGTATTTACTTAGTAAACAGTTCAGCATCGTTCAACACGTTTTACTTAACACAGTAAGAGTTGCGTGCTTTGTCCAAGGACGTAGGAAATGTACGTTGTGCGATTTACGTTATTTGCAATTTCGTAAGCCAAGCCAAGAATAATCTCACACATTTCATTTGTTACAGGAAAGGAGTTTAACCTCTTTGATGTAGTAACAAAGAGAGAACGGTACGTGAGATCGGTACATAAGACGTGTTTATCGACGAAGTTCAGATATTAGAGTTAGAGCCCTGTGAATACTAAGAATACATGTAAGAATCACGGAAACATTGGACACAGAAGAAACCAATCTTCCACGGAGATGAACGGTGTCAATATCAGTTTGGTATGTCGGAAAAAAACTTTGGCGTCACTGACAAAGTTTCTCAGCTAATGTCTTCAGCAAACAAACCAAGGATCTTATGGCGAACCGACCTCAAAAAATCATCGACCTTTCAAAAAACAGACCTTCAAGAGCAAACAGAATGTCAGCAACATATATATCTCCTTACAGTTACATCCAACAAAGGACTGAATGTCTGGTAACGAATGTTATAACTTAACCTCTCTTTTCTATAAGAATTTGCACGAAACATAGCCGCGTCAATTTGATTCTCTTACATAACAAACATACCAGTCAAGTAACTGAGAAATCCAACCGAATTGAGACAGTGAGCGAGCGATTTTTTTCTCATTGTGTGCACATGCACATAACAACTTTCACGGCCTAGGTGTGTGAACGTACGTATAATGTATTTATATTTGCGTAGCCTTATTTTGGGAACATCTAGTTTGACGTCTTCTCTCTCATTTCACGTGATACCTAAGATGATCACGTCCTGAGCACGTGAATCTTGAGTGGTCGGAGAAACAGACTTTGGTTCGGCTCAAGACGACTGTTGACTGAAGGAGTTACCGAAGAGAAAAGCAAAAGTGCAGTGACTACGCGCATTAAAACTACACAATTTCACACTTCAGCCAGTTTTAACTGAATCAACACCATTGTAATACATTACAAAGTGTCAAATTCTTATGTAGACGGTGACGGTCAATGTCGAGGCCGTTGCGTATAGCCTTCAAAGATCTTGAAACGTCTCTTCAACTAGAATGATGAACTTTTTGTCTTTTGATAAGGAACAACAACAAAAAAAGCAACAAAAGTGAGATGTTACCTGTTTCACATAGTTCGGAACGTCTTCTAAGGCCTCAAAGGTAGTTTCAGCCGGAGTGACGAGGTAGAAAATTTGTCGAAGTCCCGTGGAGAAAGTTGGAGCAGTTGAAGGAGCCATCTGTGCGCCTTGAAGTCCTGACATGTTGTGGGTGATACCACTTTTATGCGAAGGGATGGGAGCCTGGAGTTATATACTAGTATACGGATTTTGCGACTTTGTTTGATTGACTTCCCGTGAGCATAGAACGTGCATGTTTCCATACTTGGCAAACATCGTTCGTGTACACCACTTGACTCCAAGTCACGATCAGCCCCGCGACCGCTAGGTTCATATTATTGACTTTCACCTAGTGTTTTTGGCCTTTTTTTGGATAAAAAAACAAGAAATTTTGTTGCCACCGATGGTGGCCAACAAGCGGGAAATGGGTTATATGTCATAAATGTCTATCAGTTCTGTCTCAAGATGCCCGAAATTCCTACATTTCAAAGTTCCTTCAGTGACTTGAGGCACAATTGTTTGCCATTGATGGCAAGTGTTGACAGTTTAGATCTAAGGTGTAAGGTGCACATGAATTTCAGCAATGTAGCCCATGATGGTACGACAAGCTCTTTTTTTACAATTGTTCTAGTTAATGTATACACATTTAGAAGGGCAGGTAATACTGTCAAATACAGGAATAAAAGACATGTTGGTGGTCATCATCATCATCATGTTTTTTTTAACTCAATTGTTGTTACAAAGTTTATGATCTCAAAATTTGAAATCTTGTTTTTTGCCCGCCTTGTATCTTTCGCATATCGAATTAAATTTGGAGCTGTGGAGGATGTCATCCATAAAATTTACTTGCTGTGGCCTTATATAGAATCTGACTGGGAGAGTCTGCTTTAGGATATGGGAACGTATTCCATCAAAGAAGAAACCTCGTACAATGAGAACTGACCAGGCAATCACTAAGCACAAAAGAACAAAAACACAAGCCTTCTATGGAGGCTAGTTGTGTACATGTACACCTTTCAAAACAAACACTGTCCTAGATATTTCTATGCTTTAGTTCGAGACTGCTGAGCCCGCCTTTATGCAAGTGAAAAATTTGTGGTTTCAAGTTCATCATAATCATGGTTTCAAGTTATTAGTAGCTCTAGAACACCTTGTCATTGACAATGGGTGTAAGCTTAAACACGTAACAATACCGTGGGTTCTAGAACACGACACCTAGATACGTCTTACAAACAAAGGTGACTGACAGTACTGCTTGAGCAGTCCTTTCAAGTCCGAGAAAATTTACTCAAGAGGAAGAAAATGTTTTCTTTAGGACGCTCTCTGGTTGGACGCTTTTGCCAGTCCTTTGCTGGCGCTACAAAACGGTCGCTAGCAACCTGCCAAGTCCTCTCAAGCAGCGTTCCGTCGACCAGCGAAAACTGCTCTTTTCTGAAGAATCGCCAGATGGCGGCTCAGTCAGCCCCGCTGGTGAACGCAGTCAACCGGCGGCATAAATGGATGGACGTAAACGGTCATCCGAACCCCGTACTTCCGTTCATCAGGAGCGGAGAGGTGACACACTTGACGATGTGGGAAGACGCCTGCACAGTTGACACGATGAAAGTGCACCTGACAACCTTGTCGGCGGCCGCCAGACTCCCGCGCACTACGGCTGTAAGTCCTGACCCTCCACAGGACAACCCGTTGGACGGACAACTCGGCACACATGATGGGTGCCCAGCGGCTACAGAGCAGGACGATGGACCGACACACCTGCATGAGCTCGAGACTGCTGCTGATGAACCCGCCTCTATGCAAATGATAAGTGAGAAACCAAACATCACCATCAAAGAACAGCAAGTAAGCAAAATGGTTATTTGATTCGAACGAAATAGACAGCGTACTGTGGTGACTACGTTAGGAATTAAAACATGTATTATCGGAACACTTTCTAAATGAAATTAGTGGGAATTACAGTCAAAATTAGTGTTGCTTTCTCAGCCTGCCAACATCTCTAACGCATATACGCCATAACCTAATTTGCATACTAGTATCTGGCCGTCGATATACTCGAAAGAATCTTTGAATAGTTCTTCGTACAACAAATAGAGAGCGTTTATGTCATCATATATTTTCTCTACAGGAGGCTGTTGTGAAGGTCCTAGAGACCGTGATCGCTCACTCCTTTTACGGAGAAGGCACGCCCTGGTCCCGCCATGAGGAAGAGAAGCTCCTGCTGACCCACCTGGCTGACCTGACCGCCAGCGAGCGAGAATTGAGAGAGAAGACACACTCTATCTTCAAGACGCACGACAATCCAGATCTGAGCTCGAGATCCAGGACTGACGCGAAGACGCTGCGCCGCGTCAGGAAGAGCAAGAGGATCATCTTCAACCACCTGCGCTCGATGGAGAGCTGGGAGAGGAGAGGAGCCTGCGAGTACGAGAGGGAGAAGCGACTCACGTACGTCACCCTCAGACTGGAACACGAGGCCGACGTGATGGAGGAAAAGGAGAAGCAACGGCTCAAGAACTTCCGCGGCTTCCTCCGTAGCCTTGGCGAGATGTTGTCGGTGTGGTACTCGGGTGGGTAGAGACGGCGACTTGGAGAAAGTATCAGGGGGCCTGTAGGACAGGAAACGTCATTTCCAACCAGAGGTTTCAGGCCTCTCGGTGAAAACTGGCGTGAGAGTGTTCTGCACTGATACTGATGACATCGAACCGACTACTACCCTGGTGGCGGTGCACATCCGTATCTACTGCCACGGCGACAGAGTTACGGTCGACGCACGGAGGCACGAAGAGGCCCAGGAGCGCTATGGCAGTTGGGCAGTGCGGTGTCGACAAAATGAACTTCACATCTCTCCTTCTTAGTTGAGAGGTTCGTATTACCACCCAACGACAGTCAGTGGTACACTTGTAACACTAACAGGAACTTCTGTGGCGGTCGACTTGACAGAGCCATGTTGACACAAAATACTGTAGTGCGGTACGAACTACTGTACCGTGAAGGTTGAGGGCCGGGAGCCTGACAGTAGCCACTTGCGATGGACAACTGTATGTAACACGGCATGGGCCCAACACAGACCTGATCCACAGCTGATACAGGCCGCCCGTTTAGAAGTAACCTATCGGTCCCTGTATTCCGTAGTACTAAGTGCTGTAAGGACATTGTGAACTTATACTGTCACTCATATGGCATAGTTGGTATTGAAAACGCCCGACTGGTTTGTTCAAAATGTTAATTTGAGTCTTTGGGTGAGAAATAACTGGTGTTCAGCAACTAAAAGTTTTAAAAGTTTATCGCCATTCCTTCAATGTGTAACTGGCGCTTGGTGTGTTACGAAGACACGCAGCAACCGAGTTGTTAACGTGCTCCAACCATGTTCCAGGATCTCGTGTTTTCCACGACTTCGCCATTGTTGGCTACTAGTATTTCAGATTGAATCTGAACTGTAAAAGATATATTATAGAGACATGCGTGAACTAAGTAGCAAATTCAGCTGAAGTGTTGTCAGCTAAACTACTGCCTTGCATGTCTAGTAGTACCGGTCAGAGGGCGCTGCTGTACAAGTAACATGCATAACGTTACGGCTGCATTTACGTTGTCACTGTTTGACTCAAGATATTTAATGCATGCTGCGTTGACATATACCATTTCATTGTTCTGTCGTTATTTTGTCAGCTCATCTTTTACTCGAACTAAACTAGAACTTCGTCTTTTGCAAATTTATCATCTTTGTTGATAGTGACAGTAACAAATGATGACAGATGTTAATCAATCATTAAATTATATTTAATTCTCATATCATTTGCTTTGGCAGTTGGTAATATGGTGCAAGATTGCGTATAACGTTACATGTAATTAATACCAAAATACAGTATGTTTAAAACGTTTTGGAGTCGGAATAACCCAAATCTTGATGCTAAGTCTGCAACACATTGCGAATGACGCAAATAGTGTGCTGCCCCTCTGTCCGCCCTGGTACAATATTTGCGTTCCAAATTCGTAACGCTAGTTACGAAATTTCTTTATCAACAGGCTATAACTGTAGCCCTCATGCATATCAAAAACTTTTCTGACGCAATCGACAAACCAATCAAACTATTGGCCAATCAGAGGACAGCTGGAGGGTAACTTATTTCCTCCCCTCACGTGATGCCCGTTGACCTTTGTCCGCCAACTCCCGCCAGCGCGCCGCAAAGCAAACTGTTGCCAGCCCGCGAGTACACACAGGAGAAACTTTTGGGACGTGGCCGATTCAGACACCTTTTACCAAACATTACGGCTTCCAGGGGGAACATCTAAAGCCATTCGGAGGTTCACAAGCAGCACGGAGAGGGCTAAGCGTCCCGGAGAAGCGTTTTGTGGGTAAGACGAGGACAAGGCCGCTCATCCTTTTTTGTTCCCGAGTTTGAATCGTGGAAAAATTTTGGACCTCGCACCGGCACAACACACACGCAGTTGGTAAGCAAATGTTTGAGTTATGGGTTTGTGTATCTGTGACAAACTTTAGTCCCCTAGTGCTAGTGGGTGATATCATAACAATCTCTTCTGAGATTAACATTATACTGGCTTATTAGTAACGTTAACTGATGGATACTTTTTGAAACGCCACGTTGTGTGTGGAGGAATTTCAGTTGACACTGAGAATCTAGCGGATCCAGGTTTGGGGGCGTAGTGTTGACATAACTGACGGACGACAACATCAATATTGAAGCGTGAAGGCTTTATCCTCGGCCTTTCAGTCATATTCTACACACGTTTTTACACAACATAACCCACAGATTCGCTCAAGAAAATTCGTGGAACCACATCAAAGAGAACTCACTGTCGGCTCTTACAGAAATTTTCCACGCTCTCCTTGAAGGGCCATGTTACGGGCTTCCTCGTTGTCTTGCACAAAAGGCACTGAAAGCAATTTCTTGGACAAGAATTATCCGGGAAATAATTCTGGGTTGTTTCTAAAGACCGGGGAGGTACAGTAGGGATGTGTTTGAGTCTGTCAGGTGATACGATCGTTCCGTATTTTGAGAAGATCTCACAACTGTCATGGCAGCTCACTTCCTGGGGAGTCCATCACTGCATGAGGCCAGCTAGCCGTGGACGACTCTGTAACCCTTTTTGCATGATAATGCCGGGTACATAGTCGTGGAAAGCACCATAGGCCAAAACCAACCTTTGCCGTGCCGGGCCTCATGCAACGGGCCGGCCCCGGTTTTTTGGTGTCGCTGGCTTCCTAACGCACTCCCCTGCCGGGCCGGGGGGATAAGACCCTAAACAAACGCAGCATTTAACCACAACACGGCCTCGGAGCACGTAACTCCATACAAATCATCGGCGATCGACGCCATATTGAATGCAGGAATCGGTCCGCAAAACAGGCCGGACCCTGAGTTTACGACAGTTATTTTCAACTCTCCAACGTTCAAGCTGCAAGTATGTGACGTAATTTGTCGTAAACTCAGAGCCCGGCTTGTTTTGCGGACCGATTCCTGTCAATATGGCGTCGATCGCCGATGATTTGTATGGAGTTACGTGCTCCGAGGCCGTGTTGTGGTTAAATGCTGCGTTTGTTTAGGGTCTTATCCCCCCGGCCCGGCAGGGGAGTGCGTTAGGAAGCCAGCGACACCAAAAAACCGGGGCCGGCCCGTTGCATGAGGCCCGGCACGGCAAAGGTTGGTTTTGGCCTATGGTGCTTTCCACGACTATGTACCCGGCATTATCATGCAAAAAGGGTTACAGAGTCGTCCACGGCTAGAGGCCAGCATGTGGGGACCGGCTCAGAAGTAGTTTACCATCTGCTTACGAAGTTCTTGCAACAGATGAACTTTTTGGCCCTTTGTTTGTTGCCATTGGTTAGTCCACAGTAAGTAAATTTTATGGATGACATCCTCCGCAGACTCCAAATCTAATGCGATAGAGTGAAAAAAAAATTAAGGGTTAACAAAAAACAAAGATT